AGAGGTATTGTTTTAGGAATGCTGTGGAAGAAAGTTGTAAGAGTAAATCAAAAGTCAAGCTTTGATTTTGTTTTTTATATAGAGAGTGGGGGTTTTTTTTAGGAATTTTGTGGAAGAAAGTTGGTCTGGAAAGAGTAAGTCTAAATTGGGAAATGTATTTTATTTATGTATGTACAGATACATATACATCTTTTTTGTGGAACAAAGTTCTAAGTGTAAATCAAAAGTCAGGCTTTGATTTTGTTTTTTATATAGACAGTGGGATTTTTAGGAATGTTGTGGAAGAAAGTTGGTCTAGAAGGATTACATCTAATTTAGGAAATGGATTTTATTTATACATGTATAGATTTTTTTTTTTTTTTTTTTTTTTTTTTTTTTTTTTTTTTTTTTTTGTGGAAGAAAGTTGTGCTTGTAGGAGTAAATCTGGGTTTGTACAACATTGTCATTGACTGCTCTCGTTGTAGCCAAAGACCATTCACTTAAGAGTTGATCCTGGTGATCCTTATGGTTCCCTCCAACTCAGAATTTTCTGGGAGCTACAGTGCATTTACTGCCTGTAATTACACCTGCCAGCATTTCTGGTGCATCTAAGACTTATCTTCTAAAAAAAAAAAAAAATTAAAAATCACTATTTGGCCACAAAACGAAATACAGCTACTACAGAAAAGTAAAAACATTTTTCGAAAGCTTTAGTACGAGAGAAGCATAATAACTCTTTAATCCTCGAGATTCTGGGGGCTGAAGCAATAAGGCAGGAGGGCTTTGCAGAGCCCAGGCATTATTTCTGCAGTGCTGCCATTTCAGCACCCCTGGAGGAGGCAGCCCAGGAGCCCAGAGGTGCCGCTCGTTGCACAGGCAGGGAGCACCAGGGGAGCCCCAGCCGAGAGGAGCTGGGCTTGCTTTGCTGGCTTCTGGTAACTTCCCTCCTGTGGCCCTGGAGCCACAGGACCATGGCAGCTCCTTCTGCACAAGCAGAGCTGAGGGGAAGGGTTGAACAGGAGCGTTTAACCCTTCCCAGAGCAGCAGGAACAAAAACCTGCTTGGTTTAGGGCAGCCCCTGCTGCAGCAGGATGGGCTGGTGACAGTTGTCCATGGTTCCATCTGTGGGGCTGAGCAAAGTGGGTTTGATCCCAAGTTTTCCATCACCACCCTGATGGCATCACTCCAGCTTTTCTCCTGTTCCCTGGCCCGCTGTGCACAGCTGGTTTGGGGAGATCAGAGGTTCCTCTTTTCTTCTCCTGCAGCAGATCCCAGTGGTGGAAATGTTCCTTGGATGTTTAGGGAAAGCTGTAATTCCTGGTTTTCCACTGAGGGAGGTGGTGGCATTTCTCCTGCAGAAGGATGTGATAAATTTCAGGATTTAAATATGTTCTGAGAAATATTTCACTCTCAAGGAATTGTTTGGTGGGTAAGGCCCCTGAAGGTGTGGAAAGCCTGAGGGTTTTTGGTGTTTGTTGGCAGTCAGGAATGACTCCCAAATTTCATTGACATGAGAGTGTTTCCAAAACAAAGTAAGCAGCTCCAAACTGTATCTGTTGAATTTTCTTCTTGAAGTTATCCATGCAAACTGGACAGGAAAGGGGGAGGAAGGTGCCTTATCCATGTCTATTTGTGGATTTTCTGGCCATTATTTATTTCCTGAGCCTCAGGAGCATCTGTGCCACTGCTCTGCTTAGGGAGAGCAAACAGAGCAGGAGAAGTTCCAAATAATCAGTTGGAGGAGTAAGCGAGGATAATGCTGGGATCTGTAATTTAAGCTCATATTGCAAAGGTTCCAAAGGATTGGCTTCTAAACTTGCTCTTAGGTGGTTCTTTCTTCCTTTGTTCAGACCTGTGAGGAAAAAAAGGAAGATGCAGATCCTGATGTTATTGCTGCCTTCAGAAGAGAGGGATGCAGGAGGGATTGTTCAGTGCTCTCACTCTCAGGTCCTCATTTAGATAATGTGGCTTCCCCTGACTCCAGGGAAGTCAATAAGGTTTATACCAGAGCCCTGGCACTCTATAAATTAAATATTAGGAGCAGTGTTTGAAGTTTAAAGCCCTCCCTCCTCCTCCAGCTCGGATTTTCTGCCGCTGTGCTTTTGTCTTTCTGCCTGAGCACCTTGCTGACAAGTGCTAATAACAAAATGCCAAGAGAGGGTCCAGTCGGAGTTACCACCCATTAAACATTCTGAACTTGTCCTTTTGCTCATAGATTGTGCATAATTAATAATTAAACGGTTGCAGTTGTAATGGGTTGACCTCCTTGAACTGTTCATTATTCACAAGGCAAAGGCATCACTCAAACTTTTTTCCTCTTGCCCTTCCCTCGCTCGGTGTGCACAGCTGGTCTGGAGAAATCAGGGGCTGCTCTTGTCTTCTCCTGCAGCAGATCCCAGACATGGAAATACTGCCTGGATCTTCTCCTGCAGCAGATCCCAGCTGTGGAATTATTCCTTGGATCTTCTCCTGCAGCAGATCCCAGCTGTGGAATTATTCCTTGGATCTTCTCCTGCAGCAGATCCCAGCTGTGGAATTACTCCTTGGATCTTTTGCAGCACATCCCAGTCATGGAAACGTTGCTTGGATCATAGGGAAGCAGCCAGTCCTGGGAATAATTTTCCATGGGTCCTTAGGACCCTTTGTGTCCTCACTGCCATTTTGGCATCATCCCCAGTATTGAGGTCATTATGGCACTGGTCAGAAGCCATGAAAAGGAAAGAAGCTTTTCCCAATCAAAATTGAAAAGATCTGTTCCTCACTCCTTTAAAATCTTGGATTTCTGCTGGCTTTCCCTCTATAGTGTGAATTTGTTTTATAGGTGGGGAAATTGGGCAGGTCGCTGGGATGCAGCAAATGTGACCATATCCCATCACTCAGGCTGGGTACAGATGTGTAGCTTTACTTTATTTCCCTTTATTCCCATCTCTTGGAGTGTCAGACAACATCTGGGAAACCTCAGGATACACGATAACCTTTATCCTGGGCTTGAGCAGCCTGGTCTAGTGGAAGGTATCCTCAATATTCAACCTTGGTTTCCTTGAGCCTCCCAAAAGGCTTTGCATTTTTCAGGCAAATATCTGATAAATCTGTGCCCACTAAAATCTGGAATGCTCCATCTCCTTTCCATCCTGAGATCCAGAGTGTGTTCATCTCCACCCTTCCACACCAAATCTCCTGCTCAGCTCCTCAGAGCAAACCAGCCCAGGTGTGGCCATGGCCAGCAGATGAAATACCTGAATTAAACAGAAAAATACATCCTAAAAATGGGGAAAAAAATAGGATTTAACCTTTAACTTCCATCCAGCTAAAATTTTCTTAGGCAAGAGCCCCTTGTCCCGTGGCTGTGCTGCAGGACAGGAGCTGCACAGTCCATGTTTTTATGCTGATGTTGGAACAACTTCTCCCTTTGCCTGGATGAGCCCAGAGGGTTTGGAATTACCACAGTGGGACGCTGGTGGCTCCAGAGCAGCTCATCGGCTTCTCCTCCCCTCTCCTAATGAGCTTTCTCTCCATTATGGGCCCGTCATCTCTTGTGAATGCAGAAATTATCACCTCCCAAATGAGTGTGAAGTGCTGGATGCCCATCCCGATGATCCTGCAGCTTGGACTGAGCTGAGCTGGCAGCCCCTGGGAGGGATGGATGGTTTGGGAAAAGCTCCTCACTGGCATTTCAGTTAAAATAAACTGCGGGGGTGCCTTGCTGGGCACAGCCAGTTCCCCAGAGAATGGTGTCCCATGGATTCTGTGCCCAGAGCATTTCCTACCTGTCCCTTTTGGGTCCATCCCATGGATTCTCTGTCTGGAGCATTTCCTACCTGTCCCTTTTGGGTCCATCCCATGGATTCTGTGTCTGGAGCATTTCCCACCTGTCCCTTTTGGGTCCATCCCATGGGTTCTGTCTGGAGCATTTCCTACCTGTCCCTTTTGGGTCCATCCCATGGATTCTCTCTCTGGAGCATTTCCCACCTGTCCCTTTTGGGTCCATCCCATGGATTCTCTCTCTGGAGCGTTTCCTACCTGTCCCTTTTGGGTCCATCCCAGTGGCCTCAGGGAGAAGCCCAGGAAGGCTCTGCTGGGCAGGAGGAAAGGATGGGGAAAGGCAAATCCAAGGCTGGCATTTCCCTCTGTGTTTTCTCTGTTAATACAGATAATTTTCATGGGCAGTGCTTTGAAGTGGAGAAAGTTTAATTGTGCTGCTGATCTTCTTGTGTTCCCTCCACTCTCCAGCAGAAGCCTTCCCTAGATTGCTGTCATTTCTAAGTTTGGAAACAATAACCTCTCCCTCACCCGGCCTGAGTTCAAAGAGAATTTGGCCACGTTCTATCAAACACTCCTTGTGTTTAATAGAAGTCTTTGAAAATTGTCAAGCAATTTTGGCTTCTCCTTTTACTCTTCAGCTACTTTTGATTTAATTGTGTTTTCCAGCAGTTTCCAATTGTTCGGATTGGAAACAAAGCCTTAATAAGAGTTCTAGTTAATTTTCTCTCTTGTAATTACCGATCTCATTTTTCTGATAATTGGCCACAGCAATTATATGTATATTTACTAATCACACAGGAGGCTCTGCAGTCGTGTCTATCTGCCACCATTGATAATGGCACACACATTGCAGAGGTGCTTTTATCATCTTCTTTTTTCCACTACATCAAAGCTATTTCCCCGTTCCCCATAATGAATACATGCATGCATTTGACACAGTTGTGTGCTAGAGAAATTGTTTGGCTCCCACCAAATGCTGCACGCTCCGAGTTTCTTGCCTGCAGCGCTGGAAGGTTGTATGTAATGATATATTGCTCATCCAAATGGCCAAAGCACTCCAAAGCACAGTGAGATTAAAATAAGTCATTCCTTTGTTAATTTAAATAGGTGCATGTATCATACTTTGCAGGGTACTTTGTGGAGGGATGTCAGGGAGGAAAAAAGACGCCGAAAGGTATTTTTAATAGCAAATGAGAATAGATGAGAATGGAGTCATTTGCAGCTGCGTGTTTTATGTGGCTCTCTTGTTCCAACTGTAGGTCTAATGAGATGACACTGTTAAAGTACTCTGCAGTGTAATTTCATTACATCCTGAGCTGTTACACTATAAACACAGTGGAGCTCTCCGTCATTCCTGGAAAAACTCCGAAATTCGTAAAGCCCTTCTTTGCAAATGGTGATGTTGTTTGTTCCCTGTTCCTCATCTTTCTTTTTTTCCCCCTTCTGCTCTCTTCCTTTTTTTATTTCCATAAATACTGGCTGGTTGTTTTCTACCACTAGCCTGGTAAATCCTGCTCCTTTTTTTTTTTTTGGCTTTTAAAAATTCTTTTTGCCTTTTAAATCGTGAACAGGCAGCATATGAGGACAGCCTGGAAAATGAATAAGTGTAAATAAACATGAGTGTAAATAAATAGCGAATGCAGTGAAAGAAACAAAGGTCAACACAAGAATAATTTCACAGCTCTTTGTTAATTACAAGACCATTTGTGTGTTACTTAAATAATCATTAATTTCTCATTTACACTTTCCCTACCTTCCTTTTTACCCTGTGGCTATCATTGTCCTTTTTTCACCTCCCCTCAGTGTCTTTCCACATGTTTTTACCCATTGTGTAATACTCATTAGTTGAAATTCAGTGTTTTATAACACATCCTCCAAAGAATTTGTACCTTTCTGTCTCAAATCCTGCGTGTGAAAAGAAGGCTTTGGGGGTTATTATTCCTGGGGGTTTTATTTTGGGTTGGTTTTTTTTTTTAGCATATGTGTGTTTTGTTTTGCTGTTATTTTGCTTTCCACCTAAAAAAAAAAAGCAAAAAAAGAAAAAAAAAAGCTGTTGCCTGCTCCTGACTGCTCCTTGTCTCGCTGCAATCCCAGGAATCGCCGGTGCTTCCAGCCGGGGAGTTCTCGGAGCCATTTGTGCACTTCATCACTCAATGGTGAGCTGGGTCTGCAAACTGCCATGCCCTGGATGGAAATGATCCGTGCCATTAACTCCCAGCTCCCCGAGACCTTCTGGCTCTGCATCCCTTCCCGGAGCACGGGGGCTCGGGGGCCTTGGGCAGATGGGGCAGCAAAGCTGAGCAAACTGTTTAAATTATGTAAACGTTATTTACACAAAGGGTCGTAAAAGTACTTACAAGGGTTGGGCCTTTTTGGGTTTTTTTTTTTTTTTAACCTCTTTTTTTTTAATAAACCTCGCCCTGAATGTGGCTGCTGAGACTCTAAGAATTCATCAGCAAAATTCATGGGTGTAATATCCTTATTTAGGGATGTTTTTTTAAAATATTTTGTATAAAATTGCCTCGATGTTTAGGAAGGCAAGCGGCCTTGATGAATTCATTGGCTTCTCAGCAAGTCATTTGTACTTTACAGTAAGTAATTTGTCTGCAAAATTCATGTATGTAATATCATTATTTAGGGTTTTTAAAAAAATATTTAATATAAAATTGCCTTGATGTTTAGAAGGCAAGCGGCCTTGATGAATTCATTGGCTTCTCAGTAAGTAATTTTTACTGAGAGCTGTGGTTTAAAACCCACCACTGGGTATATTTGCTGTCCTTAAAACAGAATAGTTCATTGGAAACCTTTTAAATTAAAGGAGAATTGGGGAGAAGAGGAGGTTGTAGAATAAAGAATACGGTTCTTGAGGAAGTAGAGGATACAAATCTGGCAGGTAAGAGATCCTAAAGAAGCGAAGGGAAGGGAAAAATCTCTTTTTAACTGCCCCACACCCCTCAAAATCCAAAAATAATTTTAAAAGGGAAGAAATTTATGCACAACAGAAGAAATAAGCTTGCATTTTGTAAAAATAGGAGGTGTTGGAGGGAGAAACATCCCCTCTTGCAGGGCTGGGTGAGATCAGAGGGCGCCACCAGGGTGGGAGCTGTGTGTGGGTGGGAGCAGGAATCCAGGGATGTGTCTTTACCCAGGGATTTGTCCTGCTCCAGGGGTGGGTCCTTGTCCTCCCCGAAGCCCCCAGCCCCTCACAGGTTGGGTTTTGCACATTTTGGGGTTTTCTGCCACACGCCAGGGCTGCTGCAGCAAAAGTGACCCCATAAAACTGAATTTTGAGCAGCTCATAGAGCGCAAAGTATCTCTGAGGCCTGCCGCGGCCTGTAACCAATACAGCCACAAAAAGCAGGCTGATGAGCAGTTAATTAAAGTAACTAAATAATTAAAGTTTGTGTAACAGAGGCCTCGGTTTTCAGTGGTTTCAGCTTACAAAGACCGAGGGTATTTGGAGGATCCTGCAGCACAGCCCGGGGTGTGGAGCTCCAGCCCCTTTCCTCCTCCCCAAACCAGCGATGCCAGGCTGCTCTCAAAAACCCACGGAGAGGCAGAGGGAGGGACAACCTGTGTCAAACCCCCCAGATGTCAACGTGCAGCAGGAGTGATGGTGGCTAATAGGCTGCCTCTCCCTGGGGACAGGGCTACTTGGGGCTGTCAGATTAGAGCCGCTGCCTCACGCTGCTCGTGGGACTGGAATATCTGAGGGGCTTGGAGTTATTTGTAGGGGAAGGTAAATTGTGTCCTTAATATTCCCAATTTACAGCGCAGCTCATTTGGTGTTTTATACCCAGTGCTTTATTAGCTGTGCTTTGCGGTGGGGGGAATTACTGCTTTTAAAAAAGCAAACAAAAAAAGCCAAATAAGGAGCAACTATATCTTATTTAAGCAATCAATTTGGAATAACCCTGAGAGATGTCAAGTGAGCAGCATCCCAGACTTTGTGCCAGGCCCTCCATAAAGCCTGGCTGCTTGGATGGAGTCCAATTAGTCCACAGGCAGCTCCTGGTGGTCACCTCTGTGCCACGTTATTGTGTTCCCTCACGCAGCTAAGCACGGCCTCCAGAGCTAATTGCACCTGTTGCAGGGAAAAGCAGGACTGTTTGTATGAGAAACATGATCCTATAACCAGGTTAATGCTGTGTAATGAACTATCACCCTGCAGGGTAATGGAAATAAATGGGGGAAAGTGAAGGTAGGAACCCCAGGGTATTGCGTGTTCAGAGGTGGAGTTGGATTTCCCACCTGTTTGGATAATTCTTTGTGTTGAGCTGTGTCATAATCCCCAGAAAAAAATGGTGTGTAAATACAGAAATCCACACAAATGGATTTAAAAATACGTAATCAAATACAAATCAAATGTACAAATGCATAATCCCCACCTTTCATGGTGTGGAGCCCTACATCCCATAAGGGAAGGCTGGAAGGGAGGAAAATCCCATTAATATTTTGGTTACTGTTAGGAGCCCTGTGTCTCATACACTGAAATTCTTCACTCTGTGATAAAAGGGATGAAGTACAATTGAAAAAAATGGGAATCAGATCCACGTACCTGCTGTTTTTCAGGGGTTTCTGTATTTACACACCTTTCTTGGTTACAAACAGTGTGGAGCCCTACATCCCATAAGGGAAGGCTGGGAGGGACAAAAAAATCCCTTAATATTTGGGGACTGTTAGGAACCCCATGTCTCATACACTGAAATTCTTCACTCTGTGATAAAAGGGATAAAGTACAATTGGAAAAATGGGAATCAGCTCTCTGTACCTCCTGTTTTTTGGGGATCTCTGTATTTACACAGTTTTCATGGTGACAAACAGTGTGGAGCCCTGCACTCCCTAAGGGAAGGCTGGGAGGGAGGAGAAACCCAAAATTAATATTTTGGTTACTGTTAGGAACCCTGTCTCCCATCAGCACCTGCTAAATTTAAGAAATACACTGGAAGTCTTCTCTCTGTGATAAAAGGGATAAAATACAATTCAATCTTTCAACATTTCAAAACAAGCAGTTGTTTTGATACAAACATTTTGTTTTATGACACAGTATGAAGAAGCAGCCAAAGGAAAGGCCAGCACCTGAAGATTTAATGGTGAGTGAAACCTCAGTTTGGATTTGTCAGTGAATATTTCTATTTAAATAGAAATTTATCTCTTTTTTCCTGCTTTTTTCAGTGTGCTCAGTGTATTTCTCTCTAAACTCTTCCTGCTTGTGCAGCAATTCCATATTTGCACCCAAAGCAAGGGTGGAATTGTGGTTCTGAAGTGGTGGGTATTTTGCTGTTGCCTTCATTTGTGATTTGGGGAGTTAATTCAGAACTTTCACAGCCACTATCGAGGTTCAATCAAAACCATTTTGGGGCTTGATACACATTTTCTTGCAGTTTGGATGTCCAGGGATTACAGCTTAATGTAGGTCACTCCTTGTCAGCATTTGCCAGCCTGAACCTTCCCAAAAGTGAGGATTGAAAACAGAGAGTGGGGTTAAAATGTGTATTTTAATGAAATGCAAGAGCCACTGTTTTCAGTGATGGTCATATAAAAGGAAACCAGATTGGCTGCAGGAGAATGAGAATATTTGGTGAGGTGAGTCCATGGAAGGGCTTGAAATCTGAGCTCAGAGCCCACTTCTTGTGCAATCGTCATTTTTCAATTATTAATTATTGCTAAATACAGCAATTTATGTAGACTCCCAATCCCCTCTGGCTCGTGTCAAACACCTTTAATTTTAAAGCGTTTCCTTACTTTCCTTTATATTCCGCTTGCTGTAACTCAAAAGCCTCTCTAAAATATCATGATTTATTTGAAATGAAATATACATTTCAATATACATATTTATTTGAAATGAATATACATCTGTGCATGAAATATACAGGGATAATTGGAACACTGGAATAATTGTAAGGGACTTGGACAGGATCAGGACACTGGTGCATCCTCTCATTTCTTGCTACTAAGAAAGAGAATATTCGCATTGCTTCTGTGAGAATAAACAAGTTTTTCTCCTGCAGCAGTTCTCTAGTTAAAGGCTAATCTGTGAAGATGCCCAGGGGCAGGTGTCTCAAATCCAGACCAGTCTCTCTCCTGGTTAGGAGGTGTTTAACTGTGAATCTCATTTTAGGGATATTGACTCCACCAAATCTGCACTTGGAGTTGGGCACCTGCTTAAATATCTCACTGCAATGAAACCTTCAGGCTTATCACAGCCCCTCCACTTTGGGTTTTCTCCCACCAAAGGCCGATTTTTGTCTTTTTTATGAACTTTTGATGGCCGGGGAATTCTTGCAGTTAGTCACATCTGAGAAAACTTGGAGCAGGTTCTGGAGCTGCAGCCACATTTACCTCGTGCTCTGTTCTGCCATGGCTGGGTGCCTCAGCTATTAAAACAATGGAATGGGCTTTCAGAAAACCTCTCTCTGCTTGCAAATGCACATTTTGGTGATGCAATAGGCCTGCCACTTATAAATAAAACATCTGCAGATCCCAGCGCCCCCCAGAAGTGTGCGTGGGGATGGTTGTGAGCAATAACACCACTCCAGGGTGTAGAGCCATAAAAATGAGGCCAAAGGGTGAGTGCCTGCAGTAGCAGGGAAGTGCACAGATTTATCTTTCCAACTACATGCCCTGGAGTGTGCTGGGCCCCTTTAAAGGAGGTGTTTTGTGAAATTATTTGGAAATTCCGGCGCCTCTGGGGAAAAAAAAATAAATAAAAAAGGAGCGTTCCTACTTTTTAAACAATTTAATGCATTTTTTTTTTCCACCTCCTTTTTAGTCAGTTAGAAATGAGCTTGC